TTGGACCCTATTTAAGCTCCTTATCTCATAACCTAACCCTAATATCTTCAACCTCCGTCTCTCTAAACCTTAGAAATCGACCCTTCACCCCCATTTTAGTGATTTTTGAGTTTCAAGTGATTTATGTGTGTTTTTGGTGCTTGAGGAGGAAAAAGGAACTTTTTGAAGAGTCATTGCTTGACTTGGAGCTTTTGGATCCGGGCTTTGTTCACCTAGATCTAAATTTTGGAGGTATAAAGTCTTAACCTCGATAACTCTTTCTTGTTGATCTAGCGAGGTGGCACTTTGTTATGATTTTGGTCCTTTTGTGGTGGTTCTTGTGAGTAGAAGTTAATCTAAAATCTTTGAGCATCATATTTGGCCTTTGCTGGGGTTATGGAGTCATAAAGTTTGGATCTTAATGAGTATAAACCTTCCATGCATGATTTGGTAGTCTTTTGGTGAAGCTTGGGACTTAGGGTTTTGATTTGGGTCCCATTAAGTCATGCTAAGTCATAAAGTCAGGAACTCTATAACTTAATAAGTCCCTTTGAATCAGATCTGGAAATTTGGACTAAGGTCTTAACGTATTAAGAAGTTTTTAAGACATTTGGAGTGATTTTGACCTTTGGAATTCATCTTTGGTGGTTGGGCTTCATTAAGCCATGCAGAGGTTTAAAGCCTTCGACTTTATGGATCAAGTCATTTATATTTAACTATTCTGAGGTTTGGATGTCTTGGCTTAAGGGATTAAGACGTTTTCTAGGTTGGTTGTGGACAGGGTCAGTACGCGGGGGGTACCTTCTCGTACGTGGGGCGTACCATCTCGTAGGCCGGGCGTACTTAGCTTCTGGTGTGTACGCTCAACGTACCATTGGGTACGTAGGGCGTACCTAGTCATGAGGGATTTTGTATATTTGGCTTCGGGTTGGGCCATCTTTATGGGCTTAGTTGCCTTGGGCCCATACCGAGCCATCTAGTTTTGGGCTAATAATTATTTTGAGAATGCCTACAATGGGTTTGGGTTCAATTTGGAAAATTGGGCCATGGATTGGGCCGTGGGTGGTCTTTGTATTTGGGCTTTATGGATTATATGGTTTGGGCCTAACTCTTGGTCCATACTAGGTGAGGGGTAAATTGGTCATTTACCCTAGTAATGGATTTATGAATATGGATTGGGACCCAAATGTTGATTGGGTGTTGTTTTGATTTTTTTGATAATTCGAGAATCTGTCAGCTAGCGACCAAGGATTTCTTGTATGATTCGATAGTGCGAGGTGAGTTTTCTCACTATTTTTAGCGGGTCGAAGGCACCAATATCGGCCCATGGTTTGCGATGTAGAGTGCTAGATGTCTGCGTGACTCTTGCATATGTATGTGTTTGTATGCTTACTGGGTGGGGCCCGATGGTTATTCTGTATGCTAGTATCGGGTTATGCATATATAATTGTATGTGGGAAGGGCTCGATGATTGTGTAATATGCTAATATCTTTGTGATTTTCGCATGTGTTTAAATGTTATATGATTATATGGTTATATGCTTATTGGGTGGGGCTCGTTATACGAGTGTAGGCGGGCGTCGTATCTCATTGGGTGGGGCTTGTATCTCATTGGGTGGGGATCGTATCTCATTTGGGTGGGGGCCGTTATGTGAGTGTGGGCGTTGCCCGTATCTCATTTGGGCAGGGCTCGTTATATGATATTTATGGTATGTGGTATTTTGGAAAACTCACTAAACTTCGTGCTTACGATTTTCAGTTATGTTTCAGGTACTATGGTTTTCAAATAGAAGAGCTCTGGATGGTTGTAGGACACACACCACATGTTTTCTGCATTTTGTGATTTACTTTGATTCGATGATGTTTTGCTAAAACTTGATTACCATGGTTTTATGGAAATGATACGTATTAACGGTTTGTTTATTTGAAAAACGGAAATTTTATGTCATTATTTTTGGGACGTTACACCAACCCAATTATTCATTAAAAATTTAATTTTCTCTTTTCGAAACTAATACAATCCAACATAATCCAAACTTTCATTCTCATTAACAACCTAACCAAAATCATTTTTTTATTAAATAAATATAATTTGTAGTTCTTTTTATTCAAAAAAAATAATTAAAATATTTATTTTTATATAGTTTAGTAATAAAATGAATATAAACGAATTTTCTGTCGAACCGTTCACTAACGACTCGTTGAATGTTCGGTTCGTTTACAACTTTAGAAATAAAAAATCAGAATTGGATATGAAAATAATTCAATATTATAATTTATTTTAAAAAAAAGAAATTAGACAATATTTATATATTTTTTTATAGTAAACATACCTAGAAGAGGTATGATAAAAAAATTATAATTTGATTGTATATGGTTTTCTTGATTTTTTAAAATTAAATTTCATAAAGAAATCATATATTTACTTTATTTATTAAATATTTGGGAAACAATTAATAAAAAATAGGGTGAATGTGATACAAAGACATATTTGGTGTATGGTTGGGTTGTTTTTACTTTTTTTTTTTATTATTAACCTATCAACCCAACAATAATTTTTTTTTACCGATGTGAATAGTCTAATGTTGACAAAAATGGGAGTATACTTATTGAAAATGATTTTTTTTAGTAAATTATTAAAATCATCTCTATCTCTATGGTTTGGTTAAAATTTCACATTTGATCTCTAACTTTTCTTTTGCACTCGGATCGTTCTTACGGTTTGATTTTATTGCGATTTTCATCCTTATGGTTTGATCAAAATTGCACGTTTGATCCCTAATTTTATGTATGTAAGGGAAGAAAAACGCAACAAATCAAACCGCATGGACGATCCGAGTGCAAAAGAAAAATTAGGGACCAAACATGAAATTTTGATCAAACCATAGGGATGATTTCAGTAATTTACTTTTTTTTTTTTTTTTCTTCTAACATCTATTCATAAATTACGAAAACGCAAAATAATGTGGCCGACCCTAGTTCCCATTACAAAATCATATAATAAAATATTGCAACCTAATCACAAATTAGAAATAATTATAAATTGAAAAATATTATAATAAATTACCATTGCTAAATGTTATGGAGGAGATGATGGGTTATGTTAGAAGGGAGTAGATGCCACAAGAGTCGATGTATGAGTGAGTATTCATGACTAAGGAAGAAGAGATATCCTCCTACAATTTATTTTTCTACCCATAAGTGGATTAAAATATTATTAAGTAAAATTAAATATGACACATGTCATCGTTTAACATGGATAGGAAGATGATAGGAAGAAATTATAGGAGGATATTTAGTTTTTCGATTATAAAATTCTAACTTGTCTTGAATTTCTCCAAAATTTGCATGGTTTGACTTTCTCCATATTTTCAAAAGCTTGACCAATAACCAATAGAAACTTATCAGTCAAGCAGACCAGATTATCAACATGTTTTAGCAAGATTCAGACACCCAAGGCCAAGATTATCTTTGACACGTCCAATTTGACTAATTACGAAATTAATTCAAATTCATGGTCCCAACAAAGTCAACATAAATCCAAGCACACATTTTCAGAATAGATAATTAAATGCATCTCTGCATGACTGCATACGCTTAGAGGCCTTTATCTTTATGAGGAGGTTTGACTTCACACAGATCCTCAAGAACTACCTTACGCTATCTTCATGCAATTCTGGAAAAGTGTGATCCACATTTAAAGATCGTCATATACAGTTTGGGTGCATTCAATCATTTTCATTTTCTCCTGCAAAATCAAAAACAAAATATATTGCAAATTTGAGCATATCTTTACAATAAAAAAAAGACCAAAATCCCCTTTCTTAATAAACATGGTGCTTTATTTCCCTTTCATTAACATGATAGTCTACTTGCAACTTTAAATTTATGTTAATGTTATTATTTTTCTTTTCCTTTTCGATCGTTTAGGAATTATATTCAATTGATTGTTTACAATATTCGTTTCAATGTTGTTCGATCACATTCGTTTTCCATAATTGGTGACATGGTGATGGTGTGCTTAACAAACTAAAACAAGTAAAATTCTTAAATTACCCCTCCACTAAGAAGATGCTCTTTATTTTCTTGATTTCCCATATTACCCCTGTTTTGAAATACATGACTTACGCATTATGAAGGAGTTGGCTATCTCCGAGGACATGACCTCATATAGAAGGGTACAGCGGCTTAAAATCAAGATAGTTGAGTAGATTATTAGTTCTTAGTTTTTCTTTCTTATAAGAGTGTGACTTTCATCTAATAGTTACTTGCTATCACTTTCTCATCTTTATCATTTTTCCCATTTTATTACTTGTAGCCGCTTTGAACTATGCTTTAGTTTTCATGCCTCTATATAGTGTTTGCATCGACTTACTCTCTACATGATTGTACGATTTCAAGTTCATGTTTCTCTTATGTCAGAGGACTTTTGGTGAAAGCAGCCACATAGAGACATAACTGTTTACATCTACCTCCCACTTACCCTATTGTTGTGGGATCATGGGATATGTTTATGTTTGATGTTCTTAGAGGGTTACACCATAGCAATATATTGCTACTAGGTTTCGTGTTTTGTAATTGTTCAATTTTGGATCTTGTTTAGAATAATACATCTCATCTTCTCTTGTGGACATACACCATATCCTCGATAGTGGAATCATGTATAAAACAAATGTTTTCTTTTCGATTTGTTCGTATTTATACATGGTTTGATTATTTACAATATTTGTTTGGAATATTGTTCATGGGTATCGAGACCCTAAGCATTTTGTGTTTCACAAAAACCCCAACACATCATACCATGAATCATAGCTAAAATCATTGTAAGTAAAGTTTTACCACATGGGTGTCACTTTTCAAGATGTAATTTCGTCACAATTGTATAACAGGATCAAATCAAGAAACAAAATCCTACAAATCTTAATCTCATTCAACAAAACTCCAAAACACTATTAACACTATGGGTTTCCAAGCCCATAAGGAAATCCAATACGATATGTATATATGTACAAATACTTGCTTCAAACAAGTGACACAAGTTGAGAGTAGATGAATATGTAAAAAGAAAGCGAAAAGAGAGCAAATATATGTTGCCAAAACAGAAGTGTTGATGACTCACTAACAGCATAGCCTCTCATTCTAGCAACAGCTCCCAAAAGAATAGCACTTGGGGTTGCATACTGCAACAAAAGCACGTATCTGTACATAGAATCATCAGCTACAAGAAGATGCATCTTATCAGCTAAAGCTACAACTCCAATTCCTAAAACTGGAAGCACTAATAATCTAGCAACAGTGACACCAATGGTGGTTTTTAATCCAAGTTTCGAGTCATTTGGTCCTTCAGCAAGAACACCACCCAAAACAAGCATAACAGAAGGCACCATAGCACCACCTAATATCTCTAAGCTATCTGTTATGAAACCAAGGGGAGCATCATGTCCAAAAACAAAAGATTTGACTTGAGGGATTGACCCTATGATTATAGCTAGAAGAGAAGCTAGTATTGGAGGCTGAAAAATGTTCTGAATTGGAGTCTTTTCTGCAACAACCATCATCTTTCTGACTGTTTTAGGCTCTGCAAAACACCCTATGGCTTCTCTACTGGTTTCCTCAGAGGATTGTGAGGTTTTGTCTATAAAGGGGGTTCTTGAAATTTCAGTTTCATCAATGCCTGGCCATTCTGCTGCAACAACAAGAGGCCTGGTATCTCCATTGCCATTTTCAATGTTGTCTTCTTCAATGATCTCGTAGTACTCCATGGGAGGTTCCATCATGTAATAAACAAGCGTGTAGACAAGAAGCACGGATACCCATTGAGCTAAAGAAACATACGCAACACCTTTCTGGTGACAATTTGGTCCAAAAGGATTATCACGAGTATGACAAAGGGAACCCAAGATAGCAATGGGGAGATTACCTGTGTTTCCACAAGCAGTCATGATAATTGTTAATTTCACAAACTGTGGAGGAGGCTTACACAGTAACACAACTATAACGCCCAACATAAACCCTAAAACCGTGCTGATTAACACATTGACAGGGATGAACCACCAAAGAACAAGATTATGAAGGGTAATGGATCGACCTAAGTCGATGAATATAAGGCAGGGTAAAAAGAGAGCGAATACCAGCTTGCTAAGTAGCTTGAATGTGGCTTTGGGGATGATTTGGGTTTTGCGATGAGCAAGTATTAACCCCATAACAGCTATTGACAGAAGCTTTAGCAGAGGAACCACTGCGCTTAATAAATCTTCTTTCATCGTCTTCATGTTACCATGTGATCCAATTAACACCGGATGCATTTTTATCTGAATAACAAATTGTCAGTTTGACAACTGATATCGCCGTTTCCGTGGGATTGATGATGAAACTAGGGTTTTACAAATGATTATATAGAGCAACAAAAATCAATAACAAATGATACATACACGCTTAACATCAGGAAGAATCAGATTGTGTTACCTCTGCTAAATTGAGAGTTTGTGGTATAGATGAAAATGGCGATCAGATTCGGAGCGGGATGATGTGATAGACTCGAATTTGGGTGAATTTTAAGATTCGGGAACCTCTCGGATCAACCCGTTCACTTATTGTCATCATTTTATTTTTGGATTTTTTTTTTTCTATATTTAACAAATTTAATTAATAAAAATTGTTATTTAAATAAATCCTAACTTTTAAATTAAACATAACATTTAAAAACTAAAAAACCATTTACAAAAATATATTTTTTCTTTAAATTTAGTATTCTCTGTTACCACCGTACATATAATCTGCTAATATTCTTAATATATAAATTGATATATAAATGGGGTTGGTTAAAAGAATACATCATTTTACCATTTAGACATCCTATATAGTTTTTAAAACATTTGATTTGCTATGTAAATTTATAAAAACACAAGATATTCATTGTATGGTTTATATATTTATCCTTTGTTAATCATCATTACGTTTGGCTGCAAATGATTATGAATTCGTAATCCTAAGTATTACAAAAAACAATATAAGATAATTGAAATTATATTTGTTATAGTAATATATTGTAACATACGTATTTTGCTCCTATAGCATATTGATTATTGAAGATTATGGATTTTATCTTTCCAAAGAATTTCTAATGTTCTTCATTCTTCAACAAAGTTTTTTAACACTTTCCTTTCGTAGTAGACTTCGTTTGATTTCAATCTCTACTCTCTAGTCACCTCAAACTCTCCTGGTTTTTCATTTGCCACTTTGCTTGCTATTTACATTTCTTGTAACATAGTTTACAAACTTACTTTAGGGCTTTAGAATGATTGATAATAGTATAAGTGAAAATGAGCCCAACTTTATGTCTTTTTCTTTTGTGTGCCTTGGACTAGGCATGCACAAACCGGTTCATTTTTCAAACCGAACCGGTTCTTTAAACCGGTTCGGTTTACTCCCTAGTCAAGCAAAACCGGTTCAGCCTCAAACCGGTTCACTTAAAAAATTAGTCAAACCTATCTAAACTGGTTACACCGGTTCAATCGGTTCTAAACCGGTTTCAACAACTAAAATCTCGAACGGGTGTAAACCGGTGGTTCGGTTCTCAAACCGGTTCGATTCACTGTGGACTGATTCAGCGTAAACCGGTTTACCGGTTCGGATCTTGAACCGGTTTTTTTGTGCATGCCTACCTTGGGCGATACATATATGGGCCGGCCTTAAAATTTAAGATTAAATATATAACTTTTATTATTGAAATCTAAATATATATTTTTTAATTTGATGTTTTAGTATGTAATTGAGTTTAAATTATATTTAATGCTAAAAAAATATTCATTTGTATACAGGAATTGGAGTTACAAAATAAGAATCAGATTAAATGTGTGGGCTCATGTTTTGAACTTTTGATATATCAAATTTTCCTATAAAAAGTTTTTTAATTGTCATATCATATGTAGAAGTGAAATAACAGTAAAGGCTATAAAAAGAATAACATCTTTTTTTATTTATTAATTCTACATAAGCTATTGAAAGTTTTTATAGCATATTTAAATCAAGTTAGTTATCATATCATTTGTAGAAATAAATAACGGTTTAGACCATAGAAAAATAACACATTTTTCTTAATAATTCTACTTAAGCTATTAAAACTTTTATACTATGTTTAAATTATTAATTTCTAAGAAAAATGTTTCATTTAAGTTGCTAGCCGATTAAGTTAAAATATATATAAGTAACATATAAAACTTTTATACTATGACATTTGTATGAAAATAACAT